TTCGTAAATTTTGGTACAGTATAGTATTAAAAAACAATACTCTTCACTTAGTAGATGGTTGAAGATATCATATTTCTTTATCTCTCTAACATATAGGGTGGGTTTATTTAGAGAACGATTATTTACAAGTGCAACTTTCCAAGTATAAAGAACAGATAATATAATCAAGGCAACCGCTTTTATTCTATGCTTTGGAATAGACAACAATCAATGATTTTAACACATATACCTCAGAATTTGATTCCTAGTTCAAACCGTGGCTTTAATATCAAGGTTAGAAGAGATATATGATATGTAAAGCTTCATACGATAAGTTTAGCTTCGAGACAAATGTATAGATTAGTTAATCTTATTTGGATTTTCACTCATCTTATAATTACGGTTTTACTTTAAAATTTATTTATTATCTATTTATCTAAATGGAAAAATATATCTGCAACTTAGGATGGGATTTCTTAGCTAAAGGTTTTTTCTATAGTGATTTCATTAGGGCTTGATATTTAGCATGAACTTGTATAGGAAAGCAAAGGTGGGATTTGAAAAAAAAGTCGGGATAAAACCATGCTAAACTCAAAGAAATAATCGTTCCTCAGTGCTTACGTTGGAGGAAAGACATAGACTAAGAAATATCTTGACAAAGCATATTTCTAAGATACTTCTGATTACATCTTAAGGCAGTGAGATTCATTGTACCAAATATAAATCTCATATTGTATCTACGGAAAAAGCAAATACAGAAAACCCCAGATTACATGAGGAAGAACAGTCCATAATTAGTTTAATATTTATTTTACTACATATTTTATCTCATACTTCACTTTAGAACAAACCTCACGAAAACAAACTATCCATCCATGCATCTAAAGAACACTTGTAGGACCTTCCTACCTCTAGGCCAGGTATCTAGATAGGTCATAAACACGCTTCAGTATGCCCTACAAAAAATTACATAGTTATTCAATATGAAAGAGGAGTAATACAAGATATAGAGATCAAATAACATTAAATATTTGATACTTGTCTTAGTCTCAACATTAGGTTAGTAGATATTAAAATGGTAAAATGTTCTAATGAAATTCACTGATGATGACAAGAAATCCAATATCGAATAAACAAATTCATGGGAAAATATACATTTCCTACTCTGATCTTAGTATTCATACCAGAGCCCCAAACACTACTCAATGCAAATTAACGATCACTTATAGTTTTATTTACTAGGATATGAGCCTTTATGATTGGGTGAGGGTATATCTTACTAATAGATTGCTCCATCGAAATAAACGAAATACTGTTGGGACTTTGAATATCCTATCTGAAAGTCGAGTTTATAGGCCTAGTCATATATTAATAATTGGCTTAAATAGGATCGAGCTAGTTACCTATCTGGACATAACAAAAACGATAGGATTTGAGTTAAATGAAAAATAGCTTTCTAGATTAATAGTTCATCAGAAAGAAACCATTATTGTATAACCGTATGACTAACATTGCTCTCAAAACCTTCAGTATCAATACCAGAATATTGAGCCCAAACCATTAAAAGAGTTTTGAAAATGCAACCATCTGAAGTAATATAAACAGAACGACGTAAGTTGATCCATGTATCACCTGTAAAATTTTATCTTCAGTTGAAACAAATACACTCAACATACAAGAAATATTAAAACATAAACCTATAACTATGATAACAAATATTGAGATCATAAGGAATAAAGTAAATTTGAATCAAACTAGTTCCGCTTTAAAAATGTTTTAAAATGTTCAAAACAGTACTGAATTTCTATGTCACTTTAATGATCAAAAATGTTTTATAACTGCTACATAAATCCTTGAAATTCACTGGTTAATACCTTCAAAAGTGTGAATATATTAAAGAAAGAATATCCTTTGTCAGGAGATAAACTAATGGTTGCCTTGACCTCATAAAGGTAGACAAGTAATCTTACCAACGAAAAATACTGTAAAAAGTCACAATGGCACAACCTCACCATCAAAAAACAAAATCAAATTAGAAATAGGCTTAAATATAGAACGAAAATGTGTAACTTAGCAACCGTGTCCAGTTTCATGCACTAGGCAGTGAGCAACACATATAGTGTGACTGACTACACTGAAACATTCGTAAACGGAGCAAGTTTTCTACTTATGACCCATCGATCAAAAGTCAACTGTTTAGGCGAGTGAGCTACAGCTCAACGTATGTGAATATTATACCAGATTAATCCCGAAAACCTGTTGTGGTAAATCAGCAGTATTATAAAAAAAACAGTCCGAAAACTTAGTTGATAACTGTATGCTTAACAATAAAAAGCCTAATAACTTTTTCCCCAGCAAGAAGCAAGAGATTCATAGTTTCGAGCACACTCCTAAGTGTATTGGCTTCCTTGCATGAAAAACAAGTGACGGCTGCTACATCGTTTGAAATGTTAAATTTACGTAAAACAATGCAATATGGTAAGCCATCAGACTGGTAACCTTTCTTCACTTCAGTCCCAATTACTCTCCGTAAGATTATCTGGAGGTAAATTACAATGTTTGCTCAATGTCTACACTTAAAATGAGTAACAGACTAGCTAGATAGTATATATATATATATATATATATATATATATATATATATATATATATATATATATATATATATATATATATATATATGGTAGTCTTTCCTTGCACTCAAAACACTGTTGCATGTACAGATAGTAATCCAACCTATAAGTACGGTCTGACAAACCGACACACACTTCATATGTGAGTGAAAGCATTAAAAATATCCACTCTCTGGGTATCGACATTAAGGTCTCATTTGATGCTAATTTTAATATCGGGGATGGTTCAAATGATGTTTATGATCCAGTTCTTTCCAAACTCATTGAGCCTTAAAGTCTACTTATCACTAAAAGAATAAGTGTTCGGAAATAGATCATTAGTAAAAAGTGGAAAACTTCAATTTTCAGACAATTGTTGACGCTGAAAAACTGTGTTATCAACAGATGGTTAGTCAAAATTCAGGAGCTAAGAAGCATGGAATTGCAAAACATCTGTACATAAATACAGTGGTTGAATCGAAAAGTAGCGGCGTGGTTGCAATATGTAGACAGTCAAAAATGCATAAAACTCACCAAGTACATCAGTCATTATCCCTTGCCTGTTCTTGTTTCTTAGAAAAAATATAGTTATTCCCCACAGCTTCTCGGAAAAAATAAGAGATGACTTGGGTACATCATCTCAATGGCCTTGTACGATGGTGCAAACCCAATGGGTTGAAAGTGATGAGGAATTCATAAAAATAATATTGCTTCCAGGTGTAGAAATCGTTCCTTCACTCATATTTATCAGAACTTAAGCTTGAATTACACCTTAAATTGAAACCCGAAACCTAATTTTCCTAGTTCTGTATCATTAAAGCCGGGCTCAAAATGTGTAGTTTACAAAAAGCTAAATTCGGTTCCGAAAAGGCAATCGGTATTTTTCTCAAGTGTCAGAAATGGTGAAAAGACTACAACTCAGCGTCAAAGTGAAAATGTAAAGGCCTAACTTCTAAAATAGTTCTTTAAATTGACTGGTAAATGGGAAAACCACATCACAAAATCAAAACAGGCGAAACTAACTTCGGTTGAATTCACTGGTCAGTCAATATCAACAGAGAACCTGGCGTTACTAGAGGTTCAAGTTTCCAAAAGACGTTTTCAGAGCAAGTACAATTTCAAAAGAGCTGAAGTCGAGGAGACTAAATTCTCCTTCGAAACATGACATCCCTCTGGAGAGAATATCAGACAGACCCATTTAATGAAACATACATGGAAGCTTAAATCGGCGAGACACCATACTCATTTTTTCATTGTAAACTTGAAATACAATGAAATGTTTGAGTTAGTGGAAAAGTCAACTTTCAGTGAAATAAATCATAGGAAACGTGGGCCAGTGCGTAACTTACCGAGCAAAAGTTGTAATCCGGACACCCTTTCAATCAGTCATGTGAATAAAATGAATAGTCAACCGAGAATACATTCAGTTTCTAAAAGAAACCTTCTCGAACTCAGAAGTGATGCAAAGCTAGGGAGAGTTTTAAGGACACCATTCTCAGTTGCAAAATCACATAAGTTCTACCTCTGAGTGAACTTGATGGAGGAAAAAAATTCAGGCTTTACAATGCCGTCATTTAAGCGTACGTCCAATCGCTACTGAATAGGTAACTGGTGACGGGATGTAAAGAGGTACTCACATGTGCATTTCTGAGTACTACTCGTCACGCCTAACTGAATGATAGACGAGAATAGTCAAAAGCTCCGCAAGTGAGCACGTATGGCACAAAGACTATCAGGCTTACACATAGGAAGAACTATAAATCATACACCGTATATCATAAAAACTACTAGATAGATAACCCAACAGTCTACCCAATTTGGGTAAATCATTTTCGTCCGTACCTCTTAACAATTCATCTGGATCTAGAAGCAATGTGTGTTGCTAATATCAATGCTTTAGCTATTAAAACAATTGAATAGGTAAGCTCATACTAATTAGATCAAAGAACCAAGAGACCACCTTTCCCATTGTTAAACTGCTATCCTGTCCTAATTTTGGCATCACGAAGCTCATGCAAAACTTGTCAGCATTCAGCCCTCCTTTGAGTTAAAACTTCTCATTTAATATGCAGCCTAACAAAATAGTCAGTCTCAGAGTAATAATAATAACTGATCATACGTCACGCATATGTCCATGATGCATCATGATTCAGTGCGCCGGTCCTCCCAATAGATATAAACATGGGTTCCTTCATAAATCATATTCTCTTCTGAATAATTTAAATCAACTGACTGATAGTAACTATGAAATTCATATACTTATGAAGAGTGAAAAACCAGGTTCTACGTATGTAGAATATATATTCAGTCAAACATTCACTTCAACAGCTTCAAAAAAGTAAATGACTGGTGAAAAGACTTTATATTATTTTAAAAAAACATTGAAACTGAGAAACCCCAGGGACTTACAAAGTACAACAGCAAGACTAATAGCAAAGTACCGAGTCATTTGATCTCCGATATACCGCCAGTTACGAAAAATTACACTAATAAGTGCATTTTCTTTGGCCATGTTAAACAAATCCTGATGGATGCATATAAAAATTTATTCATATTATATTTCAAAAGTTACGGGTATTTTCACATACGATCATTCTCTTGTTAATTTGCAAAACAGACTGAAAAACTTCGTATTAGAACGCTTTCAGGCAATCATTCATACGGTGAATATCTAGTTAATGGAAGTGACTAAAAGAACTCGCGACGGGCATGAAAGATGCTTTCACTCATTCAACATCAACGTTCATAACTGCTGGACAAACGCGTTCCGCCAAAACTTTCAAAACGGAGAATCACTGCTTTATGCCTCATCAACATGGGTTTAGAAAAGGGTACTCCGGTATTGCTAATCTGCTCACTGCAGTAGATAGATGATCTAGTGCTGTCGACCGTTGAGGTCAAGTTGACGATGATTATTTGGGCTTTGATAGGGTATCTGATTGCGTTAATCACGACTCCATTGTTGATAAGCTAAAATTAATCGGGATACAACCTCCGCTCACTGGCAGGTTATCTTCATAACCACGAGGTCGTTTATGTAGAGTTCGAGTGGGTTCCTCTGTGTCCAAAGGGATAGAATGTCTTAGTAGTGCTCCTTAAGTTTTGGTACCAACCTTCCTTTTTTCAACATGTGTAAGTGCCTTGCTTCAACAGGTTTCTCCCGATATCCTTTTTTTCGTCGATAACGTGAAGCCACTAAGATAAAACCAAAGTGAGGAAGGCGGTGTTCCTCTACGGCAAGAAGTAACTTGGCTTCAAAACTGGGCAGCCAATGATGGGCTTGCACTGAGTCTTGAAAGTTGCAAGGCCTTAAAAAGTGTTTCTATATCAATCCACAAACGAACCTCAGAAACAACACCAAATAACCAACAACTGTTGGATGACCCAGATTTGTTTCAAGATAGGAGGCTGATGATGATGCCGACACCAGTTCTTCTGGGAGTCGGTTTCAGGTGTTGATTACTCGACGCGAGAACCAGCACTCTGCAGAGACTATGTTAGTTCTTTGCCTTTGTAGCCTACCATTACGTACTCTGAGGTGTTCCGACGTAGTGGGAAGGAGAGAAGATAGATCGGGTTGGAAGTCATTTCTTACAATCGTGTAAAGCATGACCAAGTCTCTTCTGTGTCTACGCTAGGATAAAGTTAAGAGGTTCAGCTCTTTAGGTCGATCTTCGTAGATGAGGCCAGCCATCACGGGGATCACAGGAGCGACTGCCCTCTGAAGTTTTTCTAAGGGGTCCGCGTCACTTTTCAGACAGGGATTTGCCGCCTGTGTACAGTTTTCTGATGTGAACCCCCGAAACGGTAAAAAAGCCACCACTTATTTTCCTAACCCTTCTACGTAATGCCCACAGAGTCCTAAGACTCCGAGCTGCTACCAATCGACAGTGTGTTCTGGTTCTCAAATCACAATTCACTGTGGCTCCTCGGTCATTGTGGGTCAGTACTGGCGGTAGAGAAGTCCCATCAGTATCGTACGTATTGTTACGTGCGTGTCCCAAGTGCATGCTCACACCCCTACCTGCATTGAAAGGCATCAGCTATTTCTCTGACCGGGTAGTCAAGCTGTTCAGGTCTACCTGAAACGCACGTATATCCTCATCGTTCCTAATTTCCCGCCAGATTTTTACACCATGAGCTTGGACAACCATAGGGGATTTCGTGATTTTTGGCATCTCGTTTACGTATCTGCGAAACAGCACTGGGCCCAGGACTGTGCCTTGCGCACTCCATTCTCTACCGACTTCCGATAGGATAGTTGAGAATTGATCCTTACTCTTTGCCTCCTACCAACAATGAACCCTCTTATCTATGACAGCATGCCACCAGTGATTCTAAAACGTTCCAGTTTCTCCGGCAACCTGGAATGAGATACTTTGTCGAACGCCTTGCCAAAGTCTGTGGAAATTACATCTGCAGGTGTCATATGATCCTTGGACTAAGCCCAACTTCCTTCGACTGTAGAAGGAATCGTCAAGCAAGAAAAATTTCCACGGAAACCAGGCTATGAACGAGGCAATAGGGCGTTACTCTCTGGGTGAACTGTTATGGCTTCCTCGGTTGCCATTTCAAGGATTTTTACTGCAGTACTAGCCAAACTTATCGGCCCGTAAGTTGATGGGTACCGCTTAAAACCTGCCTTGCAGATAGTTATTACAATGGTATTCTTCCAGTCGTAGGGGAGTGTGCCTTCGCCGAGGGACAGTCTAAATATACTAGCTAATGGGCCGGCTGCACAGAGTGCAAACTCTCTGAGCAGCATTGGGTCCTGTCCATCCGCTCCCGTGAATTTTATTTCGGGCTACCTTGTAATGCATCATAACTACGGGAGTTCCAAGGTAGGTAGCAAGACTAAAACACTTTTTCTTACGTCACGGCACGATTCGGATTTCGTGGCTTATCCACGGTGGACGATGTTTCCGACGCCTCGGGGCAGTCCACGGGATGACGGTCGGGTCACTCGTGCATATAACTGTTTGAAGAAGCATTATGCAGCTTCAACTGAGGCCTCTAGATTGACTGTCCAGTCCTCTGAACAGACTGCTAGGTCGTTAGCTTCCATATTCCCTCTCCGTATACTGGGTCCAGCAGGGTCGTCGGCATAGTACGGGACGTCTGCTGTGCGTGTGAAGATTATCACAGCGTCACCACTTTTACCAAGGGGTGCTAGGTGCCAGATGAAGCGCGCATCATCTGTGTACGAGAACTCTACGTCTGGAACTGACGGAGAACTGACTAGCGTGCTGATGATCATATCTGATCAGTGTCCCAATGTGGTGCGTAGGGGCCAAGAAAATTGATGTTTTCACTCACCTGTGAGCAAAGGAGTTACGCAGTGCCTCTGTTGTCAGTCTGTCCCAGTCAGCTGGTGGTGCTTTGAAGTCTCCTACAACCAGGTGTGCGCATTTATCCTCCAGATGCCCAGGTTATTCAGGAGGAAGTCCGCTGCCTCACGTTCACGGTTTCGATATGCTGCGATTACGTTAGCATCTTGCCCCCTGCATTTCAGTCGTCAGCGCAGCATTTCACTTGTCCCAATTTCACTTGCAGCCATTCCTATTGCTTTTACAGTTAAGGTATTCTTAACGTAAAGGTGGAACCACCACTTTCGCATGCTAACCTGTCACCGAATCTTCGTAAGTGTGTTTCACAGTCACCGACCCAAGGAAAGAACTCAATTTCTGAGATAGCAATGATATCGGACCTTCGTTGCTTATCACATTAATAAGCTCAGTTCACCTGTTCAAGAGACTACGTGCATTTGTGTACAAGACGGTGAAACTGCCTAAATAAGTTTTCGTCTTATCCATACTGGTTTTGGCATCGTTTGTTGCTGAAACCTAACTACAGGAAAACCCACTGCTTTCAGATCCTGCTCTCCTGCTGGTAATCTGGGTTTTAGTCCTGCTTCCACTTTTCTTTTTTTGATCCAATCAGCAACAGCAAAGTCCCTTCGCATGAACACTCCAGATCCTTGAAATCTTTGGACTTTCTTCGGAATCTACTCCCTCCGATGTGCTGACTACAAGAAGACTCGCTTTCAGGGAGGACTGTCTACTTTTTGCCCACTCCACATGTCTTAAGCAGGGTGACTCCTGGCATCTCCGACAACAGCTGGGGTATCAAACATTGTACCTTACCAAGGTCACGTTCGAAACGTTTACGTGGTTCCGGGTCCCCACTTTCTCTCACTCTGTGAAAAATTACAGACCAATCAAGGAGCACCGGTTTGTCTCAGCTCTATGAAGTGATGACAGTTGGTTCGATGGTTGTCAATGGCCTCTTGGTTACTTGCCATTTCTCAGAGTCGGGCATGCGAGGCTTACTAAGGCCTAGTCCAGTAGCCTTGACGCTGACAGGCCCAGGAAGGACTTGCGTCTCATTCGTCTTCGTTTTAGTCACCGGTTGAGTCGCCGAGCCGGGGTGACCTGCATGGTTTACTCCTGTTTCTTCCATCTGAAGCGGACGCAGTCTCACAGTTGGTAGTTTTCACACAGGGCCTGCGAGCTCCGGGGATGCGGGAACCCGAAGCTTCAGGCTTCACCCTGCCTGGCGTAGTTTATTCTAAGTTCCGTTTTGCAAACCTGGTAGGTAGTTTACGAGCCCAACTCAGCTTGTCGTGGGATGTTCTTAAAAATTCGCGCAGCGGTCTGTTTGTCAGTGGACACCATGCCGCTATCACTGTCATTATTACGATCCTTGTCACCATCGTTATCCTCGTCACAGTTATCGGCCTACCCGGTCGATGCTAGTTTCTTCGTTGCCGCATTTAGAAGTGCCTCTGCCTCTTCTACCATGATGCGAATATCCGGACAGCACAACGTGCAAAGTCAAAAACTCCCTCCAACACTGTACCTCTTATATGCTGAGGGGTTGGGCTTGTACAGTAATCGTGGAGCCAAGTCTTACGTTCTCTGTACTGCATACTAAAGGGCACTATGAAGTGTCACCCGACCCTGCCATAAGAATTTACGACACGTTTGGTTCACTAAGTAGCAGAGACTGCAAGAATTCACCCAGCAAAAATTCCCGTCTCAACTTAAACGAATAATATTCCAATTAGAGTAAAAATACAACAGCCGCTGATAGACATAAAGCTTGAATACGTGGACAGTGGTAGTTCTCTAGCTTAAAACGGATTTTCTTACCGATCGAGAAGGATGTTCCGTGTAAAACCTTGAAGAATATTAGGTTTGTCCTGAAGCGTCTCATCCATACTGGGTGTAGATCAAGGGACATACTTCTGAACGAGTAGTTATGGCCACATTAGTATCTAAGTAATCTGGGTGTGCTGCTGAAGCCCTATGTTCCACTGGAACCCAAGGGAAAGATAACACAATAGAAGTAGTCTGGATGTAAAGTACCACTGAGCGCCCTCAACCTTATGTATGTTGGTCATGAGAATGCTGCGTAGAATAACCGAACCGTGTTCTCCAAGGGAGAACTCAATTTCCGTAAAACAATAGTTTTTCTTTATGGTGATAGAAGCTACGGACCACACATCTATATTTAGCCTCTTTTGGTGCGGTCCGCGTATTTCAATTGGGTAGGGGGCTGTGAATATCGTGGGGCTCCCCGGGTCAACGGATATATTGCTACCAGATGAATAACCAACGGCAACGTGGATTGTGATTTTCCAGCTGAATTTTGTGTAAGGCTTCCAGATTACCTGAAACGAACAATCTTGGGTGAACCGACATTGGGTTCTGAGCAGTTGTCAAGTATTTTAGCTTATGCGTCTTGGCTAGTTTAAAATATTGTTTTCTGATCAATGGTTTTTTGGAGATTATTCTTGCATTTCACAGCTTCATGGCAGAAACGGTAATTTTGCCAGATTTGACGGATCTAGCGGCCATTTGTTAGTCGTCAGAGTGGATGAGGACCAGGCAACAAAACTACTGACGCGTTTTGGACAGTCTGGGTAGTATGCTTACGCGTCCGCTTGTAGTTCTGTTGACACCCAGAATGTATGAAACCTGTCCTAGCGGCTACACTCCAGTAGGCTAAAAATGCTGCACACGTAGTCACCAGTAGGGTGAAACCTTGGAAGTAGACTTCCAAGGAACCCACTTCCAACACATACTTCACCAACTAGTACATTTTTTCCACGAGTTAGTTTACAATAATTCACTTTGAATAAACACTTCACATTTCATGGTAATTGCTGAGTTTGCATCCCATTCGAAAGCTTGGATATTTGGTGCAGAATTGGCGCTGTGGAATGAACCAAACGTGCGGTTAACGTGCCTAACGCGACGCTTGTGAGATACAACAAAAGGCGTTGGTTGGTCTAGATAGCAGGATGGTGGCCATGGAAGTCGGTTACCGCTAAGGAGTGTGTAACAACTCGTCTGCCGAATCAACCGGCCCTGAAAATGGATGGCGCTGGAGCGCTGGACCTATGCCGTACTGTTGCTGCAGGCTTGGCCTACGTAGGCTGGTGGCAAGCTGCACTTGGTCCAGGCATGGAGTAGCAGCAGCAAGTAGGAGGGTCGCTGTGGCTGGGGGAAGCCTCAGGCGTGAGCATGGGTGAAGCAACCACAGGCACAGATCTTGGTGGTGGTAGCAAATACTCAAGTGAGAACCTTGAAGGCCTCGGTGGAGAAGGGCTCCATGGGGACAGCAGTTGGCCATGTGTCAGGCAGTCCTAAGTGATCCGGTAAATCGGAACAGAGACAGAGTGCCTGATATTGTCCGTTAACGGGCTTTGTTCAATCTTGCTGCAAATGTACTGTTGCTAAACCACCCTCTGTAGCGGAAGGGAATGGGGTAATATTCCTGACCCTGGCCACGGAGATTGGTGGATGTTGGGCCTTTGGTCCAGTGTGTACCGAGTGCAGTAAAGCAGCCGAACTCGGAGACGTCGGCGGGAGTCCTGTGAAGAGTTCGTCTTTTTTGTTGGGATTGCATCCACCTCCTGGAATCGGCTCGTCCGGAGATAGGGGGCGAGCCACCGTAAAGCACCACCCCCCTGGTGGTGGCCGGAACGCTCTCGTCTGCCCCTGAAAATCCGAGCCAGGCAGTATAATTTTCGTGGCAGGCCGTGCCAACACCCACAGCAGGTCTCCAAGGTGGGCAGCCTCTGGCATTTGAACAATGTAGGCAAGAGAAGTCGGCAAATTAGATCCGTAACTTCGGGGAAGGATTGGCCCTGGGGCCGAGTCAGACAGGCCGAGATCAGATACGTGTCGGCCAGTTGGGGCTGGTTCCTTTGTTACTTTGAGTGCTTCAGTAGGCTTTGTTGCAAAGTTACTGGACTCTCGCCGGGTTCGACTGTGGGCGGTCTCAGCTGTTAGTGTCATATGGCTTGCAACGCACGTGGACTTGATCTGCGTCGCATCAAGCGGTTGGAGAGTGACGGCTAATTCAAGCTGGCACGGACCAGAGGAATACGACTGTATTACTAAAACAAAGCATTGCGATGTCCGCTGAGCGGTTTTGACGCAATGTGATTTCTGCCCAGTGCTCTGGATATCAAAGAGAAGAAATTCGGTCAAGCGCGGGTAAACGGCAGGTGCGCTACTTTCTGCTCTGCTATTGCATATATCCATTTTCTCTGATTAACTGATTGTTAACTTTCTGAGAGTGTATTCCTTTTCTAAGTACTGAGTACTGATTTCTGGATATAATTGTTTTGTCCTATCATTGTGTTTGTGCACCACTCTCATAAACTGCTGTTTCGTCGCTTTCATGGATGTATAGTTGTGGATTTACAGTTCATTTCGGTAAGTCTTTGGCTTCCAGTTAACAATTTTTACATATAATTCACTTTTTCAACCTCCAACATTAAGTCTTTACATTTTAATCGAGTGAATCACTGTTTCCTATATTACTAGTTAAAACCCTTTCCATCACCAAGCCTCTTCTACCACTACTCTCTTTTCCCACATACATTATTATTAGTTCTTGCACAGTTAGAAAGAGTTTTTAAAATCCTTTCTTTTGATATGTATCTTGTCATATTAGTCATCTACTGCAGTGAATATCAACCGTTAGTTGTTTCTACCACTGGTGTAATTATGTCCGTTTTTGTGCTAGTTGCTGTTTTTCGTCACTAATTCCTATCCTGTTTGTTCTTTTCTGTTCTTTCTTTCTCTGTCGTATTCCTCTTACTGTGCTTGATCGATTGATATCAATTTTGTGCGGCTTTATTTAGTCTTTAGTATAATCGAATTTTAGTTGAACGAACGTTTGACGTCCTCTCTTCCCTCCAAATTGGACTATTCTAGTCTTGTGGTAATATTTTAGCTCGTTCTGCTTAACTCACCAATGTGCCCCGTGTTTTTATCTGTTGTGTGAGACACTTTCTCATCCTATACCTCACTTTACCCTACATTCTCGTCCCCTTCGCCATCATAGGTCTTGGAATCTCAATATTATTCATTTTGCGCCTTGACTACCTTTTTTCACATTTCCCAATTCTAGCCTTTTTGCGGCAAAGACCGGAATTTCGGCAAGTAGTCGTTCCATATGTCCTATACGATTTATATCGATCGCTTACGTTAGCTTACCGCCGATTGGTTGACTAAATCCACGTTACTTCGCTTTCTGTGGAGCCCCCTTTGTACTTCTGTGGGCAATTCCTTCACGATTGTCATCTACTCATCGTCCTCTTGCTTCTGTTGTTGACTTTGGATCACACCCCTTTGGTTACTCGGTTGCTAAGGTACTCTTTCGCCACAGCAACCCAGCGTTTTTTTTATTTCTCGCGAACACCTTTTTTTGTAATAAACCACGAAGGGGGCCTATAAACGGTTTGTGGAGCGCATAGCGGTATATCGTGAAGCGTCCTCTTACACCCGAGTCGGCCCTCATTGCTGCCTTCGGTCATACCAGCTATGTTTAGAAACACTTCGTCCTTATCCTCGGCCTCCGCCGCGGCTGAAGCTGGCCCCTACCACCAGGCTCCTCCTTCCCCAGTTGCTTCACTGCCTCCTTCGCCGTCTTCATTCGTTCTTTGGCACCCTCTTTGAGATCTACATTTTCCATTCTGGTGCCTTGTCACGCCTGTGTCTACTGCTCATCAGCGTTCACCTCTCCCCGTGGTCACTCAACACCTTCGATTATCACACCCTGTGGAGTATAACGAAATCCTTCTTGAAAGAATAAAGATACGTCCTGCAACCGTAGATCCTGGTCCCCTGAGGAAGACTTCTCACTGCTAACCTTGGCCACGGCCTATGTTGACCAACTCGCTTTAAAAAAGGAGCTATATGCGCATCTGAATCGCACCTTACCACATCTCTCTGTTGATGCAATTAAAAAACGCCTTCAATTCCTTCGATGGCAGAGCAGCTCAACTACCTCATCCTCAGCCTCCTTGGCTTCTGGTCGGTCATCGCCACCTTCTTCTCCTGCTTCCTCTCTGATCAGCGATCATAATGCCATGGTACGATCTGCTCTCTGTGACAGGCCAACAATGAGAACATGGTCTGCTGACGAAGACCGCTGCTACTTACCAATGCCAGTCGTCCTGACTCCGTGTTTTTATCGCAGCAGAGTTTTCACCAACTCATTGCCTCACTTCTTTGTGACTGCACCGCTGGTGCCACTAGGAAACGTCAAGGCGCAAAATGAATAATATTGGAGATTCCAAGACCTATGATGGCGAAGGGGACGAGAATGTAGGGTAAAGTGAGGTATAGGATGAGAAAGTGTCTCACACAACAGATAAAAACACGGGCACATTGGTGAGTTAAGCAGAACGAGCTAAAATATTACCACAAGACTAGAATAGTCCAAATTTGGGGGAAGAGAGGACGTCAAACGTTCGTTCAACTAAAATTCGATTATACTAAAACTAAATAAAGCCGCACAAAATTGATATCAATCGATCAAGCACAGTAAGAGGAATACGACAGAGAAAGAAAGAACAGAAAAGAACAAACAGGATAGGAATTAGTGACGAAAAACAGCAACTAGCACAAAAACGGACATAATTACACCAGTGGTAGAAACAACTAACGGTTGATATTCACTGCAGTAGATGACTAATATGACAAGATACATATCAAAAGAAAGGATTTTAAAAACTCTTTCTAACTGTGCAAGAACTAATAATAATGTATGTGGGAAAAGAGAGTAGTGGTAGAAAAATCAGCAGGAGAAGAAAGAGGACGATGAGTTGGTAACGATTGTGGAAGGAATTGCGCACATCACACGCCATGGCCGCAAAATATGGTGCCGCAATAAAAAGGCTAGTGCGGTACGTCTGAAGGTGTGGGGTGCGTGATTGTCTTTGTTGTGGTGATGGAAGTTGCGCATACAAGTCATGCATTTCCTATAGCTAATTGCATCCAGCTAAACCTCACCACGCAATGTGGGACATCCGCCAGGTGATAGCAGCAGGGTTCAGTGAACTAATTCTGAAACTCAGCACCTACCGTCTCCAATGAGTGAAGTAATAATTCCATATGGTGTTACCAGAAACTTTGTAGACCAGTAATTTTCTCTTAAACTGGTGGGGAATATTACTTTAAGTTGTCCGCCCAAACGTTCAACTATATCATTAGCAGTAGTATGGTATGCCGTCATGCATATTCGTTTGGTGATACTGATATCGTCATTATTATTTACCCCTTGAGTTTCTGGTGGAACATAGGGCTTCAGTATCACATCGACACTTCGCTCTGCTCTCTGCAGTCTTGAGTTCCTTCTAAGCGCCTGGCGCTTGATGTGCTTCAGATAATGATATTAACGGTAATAATTTCATTTAACTTGGCACGCATGAAAGTATGTCGTTTTTAGAGGCACGATCTTCAAGCAATTCAGTAAGCTTTCAGAACAAGAAGCTTTCAAGTCTTTCTTCCATATTGTCATGGTAACTGAAGGAAACTAAAATTGGTGTATCCTGTTGGCAGCAGCTTCGACGGAAAAATCCAACTGTGAAGCGGCAAAAGATTAGGAAGTGAATGTATCCACGCATGTGAGAAGACGGTTAAGGCCATCGTGAGTAGATGGTGATGCAATCAAAATCACACATATATTCTGTTTTCATTGATTTTTGATAGGTAAATCAAATAATGTGAAAGTATTATTCACTGGATTACATTTCGAACATAATTTATTGTCTATAGTCATATCGTGCATACATATTTAAGCCTAGTTGCAAGAGTATAAAGTCAACCAAGGGGAGAGTTGGTATGATGATAAATTTTCACTCTGTAACAAGTTATGCAGGTTTTTATCCACTGTTTTACGCCGCGAGTATTTATGGTCCACAAAAATCCACCTTTAATGGGACCGAAGGGTGACTATGGGTTGCCGAAAACTATCTTAATTATCGAAATCCCGCGTCTTATGGCGATGGGAAAAATTGGCGATGTTTTCCCGAAGATGCGTTCGTTGTATATAACTCTGGGAGTCTTAAGTGAAGCTTTTAAATCCTATGAAGTTACTTCCGAATGTATCAACTTCTACAGTTGCAGAGCATATTTTGGGCTTTGGATAGCAGGTGGTAAATAACTTCTGGACGCAGCCCGCTGTCAACGTGTAAATGTGACAGTGCAACTGCTACTTCCTTGCACATGCCTTTAATGTGTAAAATGCCAGTCGTTAACTTCTATTCGAATTGTGTGTAAACCGTCTCTTGTGAACAATTGTTTTCTTGCCTAGCTGATAGGGCTTCATAGGCAGCTTTTTGATCTATGAAGACTGATAAAACAGTGGCTTATCCTCTGTGTATGCAGCCGGCAACTGTCTAACTAGTGTGCTGCAATGGCACTTGATTGATTGCAAACGTTTTAAAAGAATCACGGCGGATGCCACCGACGGTTTACCTTATGTTGTGAGACTTTCTGCAACAGTGACGTCAAAGTCATGCTCGAGCTGTATTATCTATCCTGAAGAGAAGTCCCATCTCACTACAGAAATGCTGAACCCACTTCTAAATGGCTTGATGGCTGTGGGCAGATGAAGGGAGCAATAACGTGCTTGTAGATGATCAGTTAGTGGTTGCACGACTGTCATGCCTCGATATAGGCCTCTGACACCATTTGGTCAATCCAAGGGACCATCATAGCTTCATGAAGAGGTTTGCAGTGCATAGTAAACTTTTCTACCTTCTGTAAGCTTTGTTTTCACCATTGGGTTCTGTTGAATGACGAATAAATTTCAACGTACTTGTTTAAGTTTACCCATTTCACATGGTCACCAGATCTGTTGGAATAAACACGTTACTGTAGTGTCACCGCCATCTTGCTTGCTACGTCGTGGTTTTCTAATGGATCTAAGTTAGGCAATCTTTATGATTTGAACTTTATCTGAGAACGGTTGAATGCCAAGGACTCCAGGAATTTTAGACATTTCTTCCGAGTACCAATTTATGGATAGGAATCACTAAAATCCTTGAGAAACTTGTTACGTAGTATTTTGTGCTCCCATTTCTAGTTTCGCCTGCTGCCTGAATTTGACATTCATATTTCATTTCTAACTGATCATTCCTCGATTCGCATGGAATCCTATCAATCGCAACCGTCAGCTTGCGCTATTTAATCACAACTTTATGAAGAATGCAAACGGTCCAAAGTCATGGCTGTACTACCCGACCTACCTTCAAGAATATTCGATGGTTCAAACAATGGCTGGGTAGTCCCTGATTTCGAACTGAGCTTGCTTCAATATGCGGAACAATTATGTTGGTGTTTAGCCGTTTTATTGTTTGTATCTGCAAAACATTAACGTTCTTTCTCTAAACTCATCTTTTGTGTTCCATGAATAACGGTGTCTAATGTATTGGTTGTTATTGCACGTAACACTGAGTTCATATTACTAAAGCGATCAAACCTGTAAACTGGTTTGTTTTCATGTAGCTTATATTATATGGAATATATTACATTATTATCATTATCATTATTACGGAGTCAAGGGTCTAGTACCATACATATTGACGGATGACAAGTTTGCTACCGGCACTACTGATGCTGTTTCTTGATGATTTATTCCGTCAAGTGGTTGTAAAACCATATTAATTTCTGCAGTTATCAGCCAGAAACTGTGTTCCTATCTTTCTGTCTCTTGTGAGGGGTAAATTACTGCGTGGTACATGTTCGTGGTCGGGACCGGTCAATAGTGGCCGTTGACCTTTCAGATCCCCGAAACGTGGAGCTTGGAAAACAACACGATTGTAAACAACGTAGCGACCGGTTTTCAAGTACTTTCTTTAACGGATACACCTTGTCGTTCAACGTGTGCCTGCGTGCAATCCAAGCATAGCTGAAAGGTCTGCTTCTGAAGAACCCACGAGACAGCTTCCTTAAGTTCGGGGTCATCTGTTTCTCTATCAACGCATCAGTTTGGTGCTCGAGAGCCCCATAATGATCTCCAAGTAGCCGGTTGAGGGACGCGTGGACTGTGAGGATATTCCTTCACTTATCGTATGGGCAGTGTTGAGTAGTTCACAATTGTTAGCATCATCTTCAAATACTAATGCCTGCTGGATGCCGTAGAAGAACCGACGTAGCTGTGGTCGCTAAAACGGTTCATGATGAATGTTATTCTCTCTTCGGGGGACCTTTCGTGTCTTCTAAAGTGGAGTGGGTCCTATAACCTAGACTTTCATACTGTAAAACTATGTGGTGACCCTCTGATCTCATATTGGGGTGATTTCGGCCAATCTATTTCTGAACATCACATGGAGGCACTGCACTAGAGTTCATTCAGACTGCACATTCTCTGACAAGTAAGCGGGTTTATCGGGTCCTGCACATCTAAATTTCATGTGTGGCAAAGTGGTTTAATCGTCTGAAAGAGTGTTGATCAAACGTGAGAACTACGGGGAGGGGAAAATAAGTATAGTGGAAGGTGCAGTTAGATTTTTGTCATCCAAATATTGGTACCTAAGAGATTGGATCCCCGTACTTGTGGATATTACAACTGTCTCACAAAATATAGCGAACAGAATACAAATGGTCGGGACGTAACCCTAACCAATGCAGAAACTGTGTGGACATGGCAGTATACTGTCAGGAGTTCACTGCAAATGTGCACGGCCAAGCAATTCCTGAATAATCTAGTTAGTTTAACGACGATAACATTCAAATGTAGCGTATCTTGGAGTGCTCCAGAAGGTGTAGGTTCAATATCAGCTCACAGGTGTGGCGATTCGAATCTAATTCTAATGACGTACACGAAGTCCAAGTTTCTCCTCACATCCCCAGCGCACACAAGAGTGCAACTTACAAATACACGACGAAGTTAAGTCAAGGGGTTCATTTAAAGATTTAGCAAAGAAGTCAGGTCCAAAATGGTAGTATAGATTGTCACAGCGACAGGCAATCGGACACTCAAAAATACATTCGTCCGGCTATATTAGCAAGGGTCAAATACATAAGCGGAATAACAAATGCGATCTCTACAAAGAGATACTCAATCAAGTTCCTCTTTCCGCAACTCACTGTCCGTATTGCTACTGTTCCAAATAACATTTTTCCACACTATCTCCTTTCGCGGATGACAGAAGTTAAGCCAGATAGCAGCATCATCAGTTTCCTGAAAAGTAGCTAGCAGGAGCTGTATGGCAATAATCAACGACGAGCATGACAACCAAACGTTTCATGATGCACACAGATGTGTCTGTGATATCTAGATGAACCGTGCGTCCGCAGTCTGAGTATGTGCGTCAGACTTAGTTTCGATATTGTCAAAATTGACCTTGTGATCTGAACTTATGGCGTGTAGAGATATGGCTGAAGTGTGTTCAGGCTTTATTATCAGCTACACTGCATTTCTAGCCATCAAGTCCCAACTTGGTTTTGATACCTATGTACCTGTATAAAAGTTGAATGCCTATTATCATTAGGATGCTCATTGTCAATTACCATATGCTTTTATGATATCTTCTTTCAAGCTGACTAGGCTAAACATTGAGCCAGTAGTGCTACAGATCGGACATATTTTCTTTCTTTCTTTTCATAAGTATGTAAAATGATGTACATTGCCACAGTTGATAAATGGTGAAACTTCTCACAAAATAACTTCGTTGAAATACTTCGGTTACAGATTATTTCTCAGATGTGTCTACCACTTACTATGGAATCATAATATTTTTTTTCAGATTGTCAAACTTCTAACTAAGCCTAATGACTTTAGAAGGATCGTCCAACTTTAGTCAGTCATTGCCACCAGCAAATTTCAGTAATTATCTGGCCAATTCAAATCAACTTAACAGTTCATATCATCAAAACAGCCAAAATCCTACTAATTACCCTCCGTTATTTCATCCTGCCGCTGTAGCGGCTGTTGCTGCAGCAGCGGCAGCTGCTGGATATACGCAACAGTTCAATTCAAGTGTTGTAAGTGTTCTTTTATGTGACTTATTGTTGACTGTTTACTTGAATAAATGGATTAATTCATGTTGCTACTATTGACATCAATCAAGTAGTAAGATATTGTAGCTAAGTAAATTCTAGATATCATTTTTCGACCATCTAGTCATGAGTTCGTACCATTCATCCATCCAAATCAACATAGGACTAGGCATTACTGCATAATGGTCCGAGTTGCTACAGCCCATATCGCTACATGAAGTAAAAAGGTAGTGAAGTGGAAAATGAGGGAAAGAAAATTTAGTCGAAAGAAATATAAAGTACTAAAACAGAGAAAGGAAGAATGAGAAACTGATGAGATTCATATTGCGTTAAGATGAGGATGATGTGTGAATACATCTGTGCCACTGATATCGGTTTGAACGATGTTGCCTAGAGTCTACAACCACTGGTTTCTCTTGTCCCACAGACTCCAACCTGCTAGTCTGCATCGCCCACATGGCTCGAACCAACAGTGCTGCCATGTTTTAGTCTCGCCGCCTCAAGCCTTTTTCCAGCCTGAACCTACTTCAGCCAATATTGTGTATCGAGGCAGACGGCGACTAGACATATGTAACACATGTCCTAGCTAGCCATCTCACTCCATGAAGGTTCACAACCACAACATCTGACTTACTTCTCCCTAAAACTCTACGCCTGATTGCGTTACTCACGTGGTTACACCACGGAATACGGCTTATACTACGAAGGCGACGATGGTGAAACAGCTGAAGCCTTCTCATTTCTTCCACCTTCAATGGTCATGTTTCATAGCCATACAGTAGAAGAGCAGACCGTTGTGCAGTACACGCGACCCTTAATAGACAATCGGATATCACGGTGGTGCCACAGGTGGTGTAAGATGACGAAAGCCAGCCGAGCCTTTTTTGTATCCGTACAGAGATTTCGTCTGGCACTAATCAACGCACCAGGGTTGATCCCGCTTCCCAGATATGTGAAGTGATCGACACTCTCACTCTGCACTCTGTATTTTTAGCCGAGGCACCGTTGAAGACCAGTCCTGGAGCAACAATTTACGTTTAGGTTGTGAGAAACGCATCGCAAACATTTTTGAATTGCCACTCAAGTAGTTCGTACCTCAATTTACTTACTGAGGTTTAAAGCGTCTTTATGATATTATTAACTGTCAATGAATGGAAAGAGAAATTCAAAACGTTATAATTTCTGGGGGGAAAAAAGGTTTAGTGGTATAACATCAAGATCCAATCATTGTGGCAATGTGAGGAAGTTTCACGCTCTCCCTTCATCTACAGATATCATATAGCGACCGTTTGTGAGCATACCTTTTCGTTTCCACCTTCAGTGGTGACAAAAGTAAGTCAAAGTGTGAATCTAATGACTGACGTGCGTATTGCTGAAATCAAAAAATATAACAGTTTATATAAATGTATTTGGATCAGTATGCCAGTCAAAACCGTTTTATCGCGGCTCGAATATTTGTCTCAATATACATAAGTGGTTGCTCGTTCAATGCTTTCTTCTATATCGTGGAAACCTGGACAATCCTGGATGAAAATGTTCCGTAGCTTTCTGAATCTGGTCACTACTTTCTTTGTTAAAACACTCAAATTTTGTAACAGCAACTTTTATTTAATCCTAAGATCTAGTAGCTGTTTGGACACAATACTTTCTCATCCATCGGCTTTGGTGTTTTGTGCAAAATGCATGCTCCAGCATCCTTTGTTCCCTTTCGGTTCAGTCTAACCGACACTTAAGTTTTCTCGCATCTTCAGTCAGCCTATCAACCAAAGCTCTCTTGCATAGTATAATCAGTAGTTAACTAGTCATTCTCGTTTGTAATCCAGTCTGATATAGAGTGAAATAGAAAGAACTTACTGGTATGCCAATGTGTTAATGATGAATGAACAGTTACGCATCTCTGTTGCTTATAACAACCGACTAAAATCTTCGATGACTGAAGTGAAGTCGAAATCCGGTCAGCAGTTAGCGCTTTTAGCCTAGTTGATAAAGTACTGGAGTTGTATTCTATCTGGACTGAATTTTCCCCTAAATCTCACTGCAGAATATGCTCCTCCTTTTCTCCGTTATGTGTTCTGCAGTATACCTGTCAAATGAAGCTAGTGAGTCTTGCTTTTACAACGCAAAGGAAATTACCACACTTATGTTCAGTTTCCTGTTCATTGATAAACTTTATAGTTGGGGTTTTTTGCTGTTACACAGCAGCAGGCAAACTAACGTATAGGTTCACTACTAGGTTAGTTCATCTAGCTACGTTACTTCTCTTTTTTCCCTTTCTTCATTTGAAGATAAATCGCCCACTGAACTTAGCAGCTAATCCATGTGGTTCGAACTCATACTTCCCTTCTTCAGACGCAAGTAGAGCCTATTATGCTAGCTTTGCTTTACAACAGTCTGGGTTATATCCTGGTTCAAATACCTTCAATAACTTTGGAGGTATGAATATACCTCAGGAGTTCCCAATGTCAAATTCCACTACGCCTTCCCTCCCATCTACCACTGTAACAGGATTCTCCTCATGTTTACCAACTAACACAACACAATCGGAGAATTGTTCCAGAGCACAACGATCTACTGCTTGCCAAGGGGTTAAAAATCCTAAGGCTTCAACTAGTAATCACAGCATCAAAGTGAATACAAAGTCATCAGGGGTTCGAAATAGGAAATCGTTATCAGCTGAAGAATTTGCAAATCATAAGCGTCAAGAATTCAATGAACTTGTCAAGGCTAGAACTGAAAAACTTATGTCTGATGGTCCTGTTTCAAACGTAAGAATTACCTTTTTCGATAAATTTTGCTCAGATAATCTATTAAAGTTCATTGTTCGTCATATGGACAATCTTTAAAATATCTACTTATTTTGTATTTTTTTAAAAATCTGTTTTCATTTTCAAAAACTCCTTTAATCTAGTCGATTCATAGATCGGAAAGCTGTTTAACAAAGGCAAGTTATCTTCTTAAAAAACTTGAAGCAACTGGTCCCTTTGATAAGTTTAAACAGCATATTGAGAAGAAGAAGATTATCTGAAACATGTGATGTATTAACGCTATACACTTCGAGCAATCTGATCACACATAGACTTGTCGAACTATTTATGTGAACATTTACGAAATGGGTCAATGAAGTTAATAGGAAACATAGGAATGGAAAGGGAGAGAAAAAAAAGGAAAAAAAATTAATCACCTTACTCTTGGTATAAAAATTAAAATCAATACTACCAAGGTAGGTTCAACGTGAGTGCGAATTGCTTTTGTATACATAAAGCAGGGGGTTTGAAATTACAGATGGCAAGAGCTTCAATAAATCTAAGCACTCAGCTTTGACCACTTTTATGTAGTACTCTAAAGGCTATTTTCATGTCTATCCTATGGTTAGTTTCTAGTATATGTTAAGCGATAGGCGAAGATGGATGTTTGTCACCTGCACTTATCGGATCTGTTGAGGTCATTTGTTTTTGTAGCCACTTGGGTACATGTTCAACCTTCGTTAACTGCATATCACGATTACTCCTCCCTATGTATGTGTTCATAACGACTACACCGGATCCTTTATCAGGTTTTAGTACGACAATATCAGAGTTATTTCGTAATCCTTTCAGTGCTTCGAAATGCCCACGCGTTAGGATGCTTTTTTTGTCTTGAACTAGGATTATGAAACCCATGAGCGATGTCTACTAATTTAGCTCTTAGCCAGTTCTGATTGTCTGGAGAAGTTGGGACAAGTAAGCTTACTTGATCATACAGGTTTTCAAATTGAGCATCGTCTGATTATAAAAGTAAGATGTCATCTATTCTCATTGATGAAAGCCAATTGACGTCAGATGTCTCCTCTGAATTGGAAGGCAGAGAAATTCCAAACTTGTGAAAATGTTCGGCATGAATTTAATTGTCTAAAACCTATGGCATCTGAACATCCACATCTATAAGGGTTACCTAAAACTCATAAACCTGACAATCCACTGCGTCCAATATTGTCTATCTGTCTGTTACCCACACATAATCTAGCTAAATGGTTGGCAAAGCTCTTGAGTTCTGTCAGAAGCCATTTATGTAAGTCCTCATTGAAAGATACACTCGACCTTATTGACTGTTTAAATGATCTGAATATCAAGGATAAGACTGTGTTATCGTTCGATGTAAATTCTTTATTCACTAATGTACTTCTGGTAAAAACAGTTGATATTTTATATGACTATATTTCTTCTAACAGTCTTATATTCCTTATCCCTATTAATTTTTTAAAAGATTTATTGTTATTATGCACTGATAAAGTTGAATTCACATTCGAGGGTGAACACTTTCTACAGATTGATGGTGTCGCGATGGGTAGTCCATTAGGACTGTTGCTAGCTGATGTATACATGTCATATATTGAAAACATGGGTGATGATCTCATCGGAAGGGTTTCACTTTATAAGAGATATGTCGATGATATGGTGGTCATTGTATGTGTGAAAAGCCTGATGATGCAATGTGCCTGCTAAAGAAAATGAACACGTCTCAAAATTACATTAGCCTGACTTGTGAACAAGAGACGAATAACCAGCTACCGTTCCTAGACATATTGCTCAGTCGACTGGAGGATGGTTTGATCAGGAGGTTGATGTATAGGAAACCTACATGGACAGGAGAATATCTTAATTTCCATAGCTATTGCCCAGTTCAATATAAATGTGGTTTAGTTAGATGCATATTGAACAGGATAAACTGCATCTACACCAGGAAGTAAGAAACTAACTTACTGACGACAACACTGACACAGAATGACTACCCGTTGAGATTTATCGACAGGTGCAAAAGTTATGTACCATTGAAAAGTACACAGTGTTCCACTGTTAAGAGAAATGTCTACATCGCATTACTATTCAGAAGTGATTCATATATAGCTATGTTGTGAGGAGAAGACTTAGATCGGTCATCTGTAAAACATGTTATGCAGCCAAGGTTATCATTGTAGAGAAGATAAAGTCCATGTTACAGAGCAACAAACCAGCAGAATATTCGGGTTTTTATTTAACATCGAAATATACACACTGTCAAAAGGTATATGTAGAAATTTCTATCTTGTGTTGTTGGTTAGCTGTTATGTTGTTTAGACGAATTGTTTCCAGTTAGTCATCATAAATTCATACTACAGTCTTTGTCATTTATCATCAAAGAACAATTCAATTAATCAACGTGCTCATGTGTTAACTTTTTATGGAAAATATGTCATTCGTCATTGTTTATCATGCAAAATATTGTTGTAATGAATTAGTATAGCTATAAAAATTAAAGATTATCCATTCTTAATGACGAAAGCAAAATAATAACTGGTATCTCATCAGAAGATATTAGAAAATTAGAAGAAAAAATAATCTCTCTTGGATATGAAAACTATAAGCAAAGAGGAATTTAATTCATTGAAACACTTATAGGATATGAACTTTCACATTTTTATGGATTGCCTAAGATTAATAAAGCTAATAATTTTTTAACACCCTATATTGTCTATGTTGTCGTCTTCCCCACCACCACCACCATATATATATATATATATATATATATATATATATATATATATATATATAAACTGGAGAAATGGTTGGCAAAATCTTAAATCCAGTTCGAATCGAATTCTGTAAGATTTCATTGAAACATACTTTACGACTAGTTGACTGTCTTAGTAGCATAAAAATGTCAAAAATAAGACTATGTACTGTTTCGATGTTAATTCTTTATTCAGTAAAGTGCTATTGTTCAAGACTATTAGCATTCTCTGTGACTATATATCTTCTAAAAACCTTCCGTTCCATTTTACTCCATCGTTTTTGAGAGAATCATTCTTGTTGTGTACCGATAAAGTTCATTTCATATTTGAAGATGAATGCTTTCTATAATTTGACTATGTAATTATTGGAAGTCTATTAGGACCATTAGTAGCTGATATTTATATGTCAGATATCGAAAATCTTGTTACTGATCTCATCGCTAAAGTTCATCTTTACAAGACATATATCGACTGCAGCATAGTGATTTTTGAGAAGCATAAGGATATCATTCGTCTACTAAAAAGATAACACGGTAAAAACTCATATCAACCTAACCTATGATGAAGAGAATAGTAATCATCTGCTGTTCTTAGATGTACTCTTGATTCAACGGGAAGATGGTTCAGTAAGACTGGCAGTTTACCAAAAGCTTACACGGAAAGGACAATATTTGAATCCGATTCAATACAACAGAGGTCTAATAAAATGCCTGTTTACTAGAATCTATCGTATCTGTACATCAGATATGATTGATCCAGATATCAAATTACTGACCAAAACACTTATAGAAAACGGATATCTATTGAAGTTTATAAACCGTTGTAGAAGCCAGGTAGCGCCGAAGCCAACTGTACATATGGTCCCTAAGAAAATCGTCTACATCACTTTATCATATAGAGGGAGAGTTGAATAGTATAATTTTAAGATGTAGTTTATGCTATCAGACATTAGGAAAACATATTATGCAGCTAAGTTCATCATTGTGGAAAAGCCAAAGCATTGTTCAGATAAACTTTGTCTTTGAATTACGCCTTCTAATCTTTGAATCACTTAGTTTTCTATGCGTACACAGACATGTTATTCAGTAATTTGAACAACGTTTACCTGTTACCGAGTATTCCATGCTTACTAAGTTTCATGGATTGGAGCGCATTCTGCATACAATAATATAACATATCTAGGACATCACAGCGTCAACTACTATATGACAGTTATGCAAGAAGATTGTTTTACCCTTAATAACCTAGTGTTTAAGTCTATAATATAAGCACTGAGTGAGTTAGGTGCATATCTCGAAGAAAGTATATACATTTCTCCAACATTATAGATATGTTCTAGTGATAAATATCAGGTAGTGTTAAACCTAGTAACTGGGCTCCTTGTCGACCAATACGTTGCATCCAACATGCGAAATAGGATGAATTTTACATTAATTGTTTATATACTTTAATAGATATGGTAGTGAAACAGTCATCACTTTAATTATCATGTTATATATACTGAGAAGTTCTTTTTGTTTCCGTCAATTAGCCTGTAACAAATTCTGATCCCTTATCATCTTCAAGTTCAGCAGGATCAACTGGACCAGAATCATCTGGTTTACCAAATTATCGAAAGCTTATACACGCTGTATTAGACGCCAAAAAGTCTACCCTGCTACGATCACCGTCTGTTGTTCACCTTTTGTCTAGTCAACAACGTTCGTTAAGTGAATTTAAACAACAAACAGAATTATTTTGTATAACAATGAATAGATGAAATCTTATGTATACTGTTTTATATATAAATATCCTGTGTAGCATTAGTACTATTTTATCACACACACACACACACACACACACACAGTTTTGTTAATTAAAAACTGATTTGAAGGAAGAAAAATTATATTTCAGCAAACAGTCTCTTTTCGGTCATTTCATTTTCGAAGCTGTATAATCGAAAATTCATACAGTTTTTTCTAGTGTAAGATATGATAGTTAAAGAACGGTTTGCCAAGCATGGCAGGCAACACAAATAGTGCCAATCATGTGAGCTGTCATTAAAACTAAAAAACTGTGATGGATAGTTAATATTGATCGAAATAAATCTGAGCATGAAGAAGTTTCGTAACGTGACGACATAACTGGAGAGTGAATTGTGATCAGGCAGAGCGTAGTAACAGGAATGAGTAGCAAATTACTTAAGAAGTGAATAGTATCAAAACAGAAAGGTGAAAAGAAAATAGGGGGATAGAGGAGACCGAAAACTAAGACGATGAAAGGAAGAGGGGTTGAACAGTCTTCTTTTGGGTACACAGTTGAAGCTTGTGAATATGGATGGCAAGAGCTTGGGTGATGCCAGAGAATGCGAAAACGCACAGCCTTTGTAAGGTTTCTTTTCACTTCATAGATGACTTTGAACGAGGAAGTTCTTGATATAGAGTAGTTTGTGTTCACTATGTGTTCAACTACACAGCACTCGTTATCACTCTATTGTTACCTCTTTGTGACCATGTGGGACTGTGCTCTCGAACCCTTTTGGATAACAGTCGCATCGAACGACCTATATGTGTGGCTCCATCAGAGTAGGTGAATTGAGATATCCACATAGAAGTGATGAGATGTGAAAGTTTCTCCTTTGAGTCGTTAGCAGTTGTTGAGTGACAGGAGAATAGTAGTGTCAGCGTTGATGCAAAGGATGTTGTCGTTCGAGCGTTTGGTATGCTTCTTTTTATAGTGTCAGTGGTAGAATCCCTTTTGAAGTTTAGATTCATATAGAGTGTCTTTTTTAGTGTTAAGGTGTTAAGGTTGTTTTTACGATGTTTAGGTTTTATGTTTTTGTGTGTGAAGCGTGGTGGTAATCCGTTTTCCATCTGGATGTTCTTTAGAGCATAAATTTCGTATTGTAACATATGGGAACTGCAGATTGGTTTGATGTGAATGACAAGTGATATATATGATCAGGTTTCGCTTACGACTCATGGGGACTCAGCTATTAAAGTTCGTCAATCGACCATTCCACTTCTCAAGTAATTTGCTGCTCATTCCTGTTTCTATGCTTCTCCTGATTACAATTCACTCTCCAATTATGTTATCATGTTACGAACCTTTTTCTTGTTCAAACTTATTTTGATTAGTACTCACTACCCATCAGTTTTTAGTTTTAATGACAGCTCACATGATTGGCACTATTTGTGTTGCCTGCCATGCTTGACAAACCGTTCTTCAACTATCATATCCTTACACTAGAAAAAACTGTATAAATTTTCGATTATACAGCTTTGAAAATGAAATAACCGAAAAGAGACTCTTAGCTGAAATATACTTGTTCGTCCTCAAATTAAAAATAAAACGACGTATTTACACAAATTTGTCTTTTTTACGCGGTATAGTAAAATTATGCCGGGTATATAACACTTATGAGTGAGTTGTTCCGTCACTTGATTGTAATCAACTGAGTTATCCAGACAGATAGAATCAATTTAGAACCTCACATACGAGTGCATCGGTTCAAGTTGCTACACTTCACAGAAACATGGAAAAAACAAGTAGACCGAAAGAGGCTAATATCAAAGCAGATAATAGTGTATCGAAGGAGAAGGGATTTCACAATAAGGGCTAGTGAGAATATTGAAGTTTTATAAGACATCAAGGAGTGAATATATTTGTGTCATTGTGACTAATTTTCAGCCAAGTCACCAACAGTCAGTCCTCAACCACTGACTCCTATCGTCTAGGGGACCATAGCCAAAGCAGTCTACACCTCCTCACTTTGGTGTGAACATTTATATATCATCGTTGCTTTTCAAACCACAGATGCAGCCTTCAGGCATAAAGCTGGTCAAGATTACAGAATCCCCTGGTCTTCTTCTCAATCTGTATATTTGATTGTTCACCATTGGGTCATGAGTTCAGAATCATTCAAGCTTCTTCACCATAGAGAACTAAGTTACAGAATAAACCGTTTGGAATTCAAAGCAGTTCATAGCCTAGTATATAAATCTTTGCCAGACATGACATATGGTTTGCCACAACTAGATATCAACCCAAATTGTTCCAACAGTTAGTTTGAACTGTAAATTTCGTGAACCCGAGGTTGTAATTCGCGAGCTTAGACTGATGATATGGGCTTCGGAGATAGTATGAAAAGACGAAAGCGTCCAAACGACATCTACTTGAAACTGGTCATGGAGTCATTTTGGAAATATTCGATTGACTCACCTTCTTATTCTTTAGAAGTCCTCTGTCATTTATAGAACTAGTTGTTTTCGATCTTACCGCTCCGTAAGCCCCAGTCAAATACCATGGTAACCTCCAAAAGCAAGCGTATTCGCCAGTATAGCTCAAATAGGTAACAGCTGTGATGGAGATCAAGTTGGTGGGTTATCTTATTCGTTGGGTTAGTCTACTGGAAACAGAAGACATACCAACAGACGTCATATTCTCTTCAACGAAACCCCATATTATATACACCCAAGGTCATGGGAATACTGACATACAAGACTGTTGCATATCAAATGAAAGTAAACTATTGAGAATCAGTTTGGGATTTACCACTAGACCTTTACTTCTCTGTGCCAAGTATCAAGTCAAGCATTGATGTTAGCCTAACGTTAGAAGCCACTTTTGCAGTTTGTTTTACCATTCATCACGAAAAAGAGGTTAAAGTCTTATGTCGAATTAAAAATAGATTTTGTTTTCTCACACGTTAAAACGACATTGGGAGGACTCCCTACTCGAACTGTGTCTCATGTGTGGCGCTCATCAACCCGAAGTGTTGACCCGATTTCGTTGGTCAGATTTGAAATGTAATTTAAACAACCCGATGCCAACATCTTTGACTACAACATTGAGTGATATCTAGTCACCTAACAAAGTTTTCTTATACAACTCGACTTTAAAAACTTCATGCAATTCTCCTCGTCTATGAACTTGAAAACAAAAAGTGTAATCGGACCGTTTGAGGTCATTTTTATTATTTCAAGGACTCTACTCAACTGCCTATTATTTATTATTATTATTATTAGTCCCTCTTTATCTCGTTTGCAATCTGGGCTGCCTTGCTGGGTTCAAACATGGTGCGGACATTCCATGTCCCCACGTTTACTTTCGCTTTCATCTAGGGAGAGAAGACACATCGGCCAATTGGCTTCCTACAGGCAGGCTTTCACCAACTGGCGTCATTTCGCCTCTCCGATTTTAGCGAGGAATAATTTTATTATTTTTTATATTTTGTTTTTTTTGAAGTTTGTTTATCGGTTAGATTTGTTTTGCTGGGTAGGGTTGCTAGCCGTATGCCCAACCTTCCCTCTTTATGTGGGCTTAGGACCGACTAGTAACTAGTGAACTAGTTAACCAGGCGAGGTTACTCAACTGCCTACAACCTCAATAATATCAGATTGTACAAATTTTACAAGAACTGAGCATACTTTCATTAGTTGACAATAAGTTATTAACGGGATCAACTGTTATCGTAGCTTATTTAAGAGATAAAATTAGAGGAGAACATGAAGATTGACTATTTATGCGATTATTAGATGAAATATTTTTGTAAGAGAAAGTTCAAAGGTGGATGAAAAGCAATTATCATGGATTGTATCACTTGAATTTACAAGGGCTTGAAGATTAAGATAAGCGAAGTTCAGATCAAATATTGTTTGAACAGAACAAAATTTGCACGATAGAATGACGTGATGAAAGTTTGGATGGATTTTATGATAAACTATCACAGCAATGCGTTCAGCAGAAATCTGGGTATGTTTGGCTGGTATGCGTTTCATTGACACCTGTCAAATGTAAGGTGATGCTCCACGACTGGTCTGCTGCAAGAACTTACGGTTTAATGATAAGGAGTGAAGTGGTGGAATATGTCGACCACCTCACTTACTTGGGGAGTTGCTTCGGTTCGAACATGCTGGTCGCTGACGAAATCTCAGTGCAGATACAAAAGGCCTATTTGGCATTTGTCAAGTTGTGTCATCTGTGGCGCCGACTGGTGAGATATCCAATTATCTAAGGACGAGGATACTACGATAAGGTCCCTTCTGTACGGCTGTGGGATATGGCTGTTAAGAGTAGAAGACGTGAAGCGATTACGGGGTTTCGGTCACATGTTTCTTCATGGTATTGCTCACGTTTAGTGGAATCACCGTATGAGTAATGTTGAAGTCAGGCAGAGGGTACTGGTGTGGTTGTAAATCTTCATCGCTTAAGGTGACTTGGAGGTGTGTTCCGTATACCACCTACCTTGACGTGCCATGCTAGGGCAAGTTGGAGGAGGGTTCAGGGTGATTAGATCAAGGCCTAACACCAACGGATGAAGTGTCTAACTGTCGGTCTGAGTAGTGTGTTGGGATGTAGACTGTCTGGTTGAGGTTCCTGAGACGAAAGGAATCAGTGATTGAGAACTCTTGGTGACATGGTTGAAAATCGGTCAGAATGACGTAGATGTATTCACTCCTTGACACTTTCTAAAGCTTGAATATTAGCACTAACCTTTATATTCAGATTTTTTATTTTCTCACACTAATTTTTCTACTTTGAAATCGCTCTTTTTCTGTCTATCTGTTCTGTGTGTACTTCTGTGGAGTGTGGCGACTTGAGCCGATCACCTCTGTGTGGGGTTCTAAGTTGGTTTTGTCACGCACGACAATACGTGGTTAACAATAGTTTCTTTCTGAATCCTTAGATTTGGTTTTAGTCTTTTGATGGCTATTCCTTCGACACAACGTAATGAGCAGGAGTTTTTCCCCCTGATGATCACTTGTAACGATTTGAGGCTTTCAACACTGTGTCCAGTATCAATCAGGTGATATACAGTCAGTCACATTGTTCAGTTTATATGAACTTCTTAGTCCTAGATTTCTGAAGATGTGCTCAAAACGTGAACGAGAACCCTCTCCTCTGTTCTTCAAATGTATATATACTATGGCATGTACAGTTAGAGGTAACATGAGTCCGGAATTCATCCTTTTAAAATTGTCACAATGAAGACTTTGGCTTGTCACTGTATATTATATAATATGAAGAAGAATTCTCGAATAAGTAGGATGTTCGTGGTAGTAATTCAGTGTCACCCAAATGCAAATTTTTTCTCCAGGATCGGTCTTCAGCGGTGCCACGGCTAACAATAAGAGTGAAGTGGTTGAGTGTGTCGACCACTTCACTTACCTGGGAAGTAGGATAAATCCTGCCCTGGTGGCTCAGTTGCCGATGAAATCTCCCCACGGATAGAAAAGGCTCTATTGGCTTTTGCCAATTTATGCAATCTATGGCGCCCCCGTGATATCCGATTGTCTATTAAGAGTCGCGTGTTCTGCACAACAGTCCGGTCTGTCCTACTATTGTATGGCTGTGAAACATGGGCATTGAAGGTGGAAGACATGAGGAGGCTTCAGGTGTTTGACCACCGTTGTCTTCTTAGTGTAGGCATATTCCGTGATGTCACCAAGTGAGTAATGCAGAAGTCAGGTATGAAGTTTTAGGGAGTAGAGGTAAATCAGTTGACGAAGTTATGAACCTTCATCGATTGAGATGGTTTTGATACGAACCACGTATGCCTAGTCGCCGTCTGCCTCATCACACAATGTTGGCTGAAGTAGGTCGAGTCTGGAAAAAGCTCGAGGTGGCCAGACTAAAACATGACACCAATGTATGAAGTCTCTGACTGTTGGTTTGAGGCATGTGGGGCGATACAGACCAGATGATTGGGGTCGGTGGGACAAGAGGAACCAGTGGTTGGAGACTGACTCTAGGTGATCACATGGCTCAGAACCGATGTCAGTGGTGTAGGTGTATACACACATTATCTTCATCTCAACACTATACTAATTCTCACCATTTTGTCATTCTTCCTTTCATTCTTCTCGTACTTTATATTTCTTTTGTCTGTATTGTCTTATCTTCATGTTTCACCTCACTACCTTTCTACTTGATGTACTGATATGAGCCGTGGTAACTCAGATATTTATGCAGTCATGCCTGGTCCTATGTTGATATTGATGATGATCATCATCATGAAAAATAAATTGTTTTCTAGATGTTACTGTTTCGTAATCTAATTATGTTCTTATCTTGACTGTTTGGCTATTGTTTCTCGTCTTAACTTTAGATACGTTTTTCATTGAAACCTATGATCAAATCATTGCCTAACGCTAATCTTAACTGTTAGTATTCTCAGAGTTACTGTGTGCGAGTTGACACTAGCGAACTAAGATAGAAAGTGAATTAGACTTCCAGGTCATACAATGGACAATTATATTGTATATAGCGAAATAGATTACAAATGTACAAGGCTATAAAAGCATAAACACCCTAATCAGAATGTCAACTCGTAAGAACAAAGATAGAAACATGAAGGAGATTCATAATTGAATGGTTGTTATAAATGAAATATTGGATTTTGAGGGGGTTGCGGAGATTTGGAAATATTTCAAGTTGTTATTCATCGTAGACTGACATCAGTTAGAGAACAAAGGAAACCTGGGAGCACTGGATTCTGACCCAGTAGCTCAATGGTAAAGCGCTGGCCGCGGAACCTGAAGGTCGCGGGTTCGATCCCTGGTGGGATCGTGGTTGCGCACTGCTGAGGAGTCCAATACAAGGACGAAACAGCTGTCCAGTGCTCCCAGGTTTCCTTTGTTCTTCCAACTGATGTCAGTCTACGATGAATAACAACTTGGAATAAATGAAATATATATTTTAAAATCCCAATGAAGTAGAAAATTAAATTTCTGACGTTTCATGACTTCGTGGACATAGCTTCTTCAGAGAATAAAACTGTACAAGTTATCGATAGTTTAAATAGTAAAAGATGACGAATCAGATCAAATTGTCTATACATGATGATAATATGAACGTGAATGTCATCGTTATGCTGCAGATATGGCTCAGAACCGATGTCAGTGGCACAGATGTATACACACATTATCGTCATTTTAACAACGCTATACTGAATCTCACCATTTTGTGTCATTCCTCTTTTCTTTCTTCTCGTATTTTATATTTCTTTTGACTGCATTCTCTTATCTTCATCCTTCACCTCACTACCTTTCTACTTGATATACTGATATGAGGGGTGTGGCAACTCGGACGTTACGCAGTAATGCCTGGTCCTATGTTGATATTGATTGATTGGTTATGCTGGTCAGGAAGCGATAACAGTTTGTCTTTGTTTATCAGTTAATTAGTCTGGAGTCAAGGTGATATGAATATGTGTACATGTAACGATGCACTATTTAAACTATTCGATAACTTGTACAGGTTTTATTCTCTGAAGAAGCTATTTCCACGAAGTCATGAAACGTTAGAAATTTATTTTCCTACTTCATTGGAATTTTACATAATATATTTTATTTTTAATCCAATTACTTAATACTCAACTTATTCGACTCTATCAGATCAAATTTTGATCCTGAAATTTACAAAGTTATGAATGATTGTTGCTCTTATTCTTTCTAGCTACAGGTACGACATTAGTGAGCAAGATGACATGGGGATTATAATTTATCATAGATGATATCATGTCTTTCTTCTATACTAACTAAAATGGACAACCATCTAGATGGTCATAACATGAGTTGTATCATGTACATTAGAAATTAAGGTCTAAAAATAATTGTTATAATTGAATATAAAATTTAAAACAATTCTTTCCCTTCATAAACTTCTACGAACCAATCAGGAGATACAATTTGTCTAAATTGTGACTGAGAAGCTGGTGGAATGATGATGTACTCACAGTAACCCATCACGTATTCACGTTCGGACAAAATCTTTGTTGACTGAAGTGAATTTAAGAACTAGTCATCAATAAGATCTCGTAGCTCACTCGGTAGAGTACCGGGTAGATCATGCGGAGGTCTTTCTTTCAGTATCTGAATATTCACCTCATCTTTGATCATCACTCATTGTCGATAATACAAATCTGACAAACATCTGCTGTCTCAAATAGTCCTACTAAAAAGGAGAAATGTGAAGAGATTAGGGAGTGGACACAATCGCACGATATCAGTTAGAGCTGACAACTGCTGACCTATATCCAACAGTTATTGGATTCAGTGACGGTTGATGTCTTTACCTGAACATAATTGAGTGCTTTTGAACCCAAATGTAAATAGTCACTCAGGGACTCCTGTGTGTTGGTTCGCCCTATCTAACAATAAGGAGCGAAGCAGTTAAGCATGTTTATCGCTTCTTTCACATATAAAGTTGGATCAACTGCAATAAGTCAGTGATCGATAAAATCTCTGTACAGATAGAACCACATCGACTGACTTTTGTCAGCTTACACCTTTTATGCTACCTACGTTATATCCAACTGCTCGTTAAGGGTCGAGTGTACTGGGAAGCAATTCACTATGTTCTACTTTATGACTGTGAAACATATCCACTGAAGGAACAAGACATGAAAAGCTTCAGGTGTTCTATCACTGTTGCCTACGTACTATAGACAATGCGTCGTGGTGTCACGTCAATAATCTAGGCGTACAGTTCCAAATGGATAGGAAACGTTATTTGATAAGGTTGTCGATCTTCATCAACTCAGATGTCTGCCACGTCACATCTGTGATTGTTTCGAGTTGGAAAAATGTCATAGGCAGTCCGACTAAAACATGACATCAGTTAATGAAGTTTGTGACTATTGATTTGAATCATGTAGAAGAAATGTATGCTTCCCAGTTGAGGTATGCTCAAAGACCAAGATCGTTGCTTTGATCTGAGTAGCGCAAATGCTTCAAGGCAATATTTTCATCTTAGTCATCGTAATGAGTTGTTGCAATTTGAACCTGTTACAAAGTAATACGAAGTTCCATGGTGATGGTGACTGAATTTAATCTTACATCAGCTGGTATTACCTATCAGCATATGGGTTTATTATGTTTCGGTCATGTCAGTCGAAAACATTCAAAATATTATGAATCAAGTGAATCTCCTTGTCTTTAACTGCAACTTAGTTTTACCACAGATAATTAGTGCTTCCAAAGTCCCTATCTTTAAATACTCATAACTTTCGGCTGTCTCTTATCACTGAGCTCAGTGGTAACTTCGCTGTCTACAACACTGGGTGATGTAGGTTTAAATCTCACAGGCGACATCAATTCCCTCAAGGTTGCAGAATACACCTTGCTGATGAATACTAACAAGCATGAAACTTAAGTCTATCACTTCTTGTCAACTCATACTTTTTTCGTTATCTTCCCCTGAGTCTTCCTCTTTACAGTTTGTCTAAAACTAGTTGATCAGCTATGTTATGAGAGTTACGAATAAGTGAAAGAAGATTTCTACTTGTATACACATTAATAAAGTTAGTCAGGTAAATATCCGCTAGGAACTTAGTACAGTTGATGAAAACATGAATAATTGAATTCGTAAGATGATATACTAGTCCAGTATTCTGTCAATTATCTCACAGGTAGTTGATTAATATCATATTTCACTTCACAATATAGCACCTTTTTCTAATGATTCAATCACCTAGTCAATTAGATAACCATATCCATGAATCAAAATATTCGATTACATAATCAAGCACTTTTATATAAACTGAATCATATAGTTGTACAAATTCGATTAATGATAAAATTTACAGATAAAGAACTAAACTGATATCAGTACCTATTCTTATTTATTTTTTTACAAGCAGGAGCCGGGGGGGGGGGGCTAGGAATCATTAGAGATAAACAATGGTATTCATCAAAAATTGATTTATCAAAACAGTTTCATTATGTTGAGGAATAAGATAAATCTGTTGATGATGAAGATGTTGATGATGTTGTAGTTGTCAATATAGAGGTATTCAATGATGAATCGATTGTCTGGGTCCAATTAATTGAGTCAGAATCACTCTCTGATATTTGACTTTCATTGTTTATTTCATAAGAAGTAACCTTTCCAGTTTCAATTGGTATTTGTTGTCTAGATTCAATCTCTTTACATCGTTCATTTTGTAAACATTTAGGCATAATTAATTCATAGATATTTCCAATTAAATTATCTAAATTTTTCAGTGAAATATGTCTATGACACGGTTTAAAGCATAAAGGACATTTAGCTTTACATCTTAACCATTTATGTATACAATATGTACAGAATATATGACCACAATGTAATACACTAGAACAGATAACAATTTCATGACAAATAGCACAATGTAATTCTTTCTCTAATAATTGTTGGATTACAGAATATGAGAATCTTGTAGATGAATCACACATCTTTTCTTCTGTATAAGTTAATTCCTTTTTTGGCCTTTTACACTTTATAACTGTACTCATTATTATCTTAGAAGACGTTGTAAACCAATAGATATGTAAATTGTTTACTTACACCTTATCTTTATCAGGCTAGATTTGGCATAAGAGTAGTTGATTATCGAATAGCTTTTTGAAAAAAATAATTATAGACTATCGATTATCAATTGAACGATTACACCTCTTAACTGAAGGTTATTGGAGTTGATATAAAACAATTTGACAGCTGATGTGAACTAATGTGTAATGACTATCGGGTTGGTAGGTTTTCGTCTAGCCTGTAGACACGTTGTTGTAGGATGGTGCCAAGAATGATGTAAGTTTAGAGGTAATCGCAAGAATATAGGAAGTGAAAAGAAGAATAGAAAACCTGAGCTGACGACTCAGCAATTACAAAGGATTTATATTATTATTATATCATTTGTCCCTTGGGTTCCTAATGGAACATAGGGCTTCAATAGCACGTCTGTCTCCATTTCACTCTCTTCTCTGAAATCTTTTGAACCTGCCTCCACAACAGCCCACAAGCTCTCATTTCTTCCTCACACCATCTCCTCCATGTCACCCTAGCATCCAACGCCCAACTCGTCGTTTCCCTCTGGGTTCCACTGGAGTGCCTGGCCTGATGCGTAATGTCCCCAGTCGGCCTTCTCAGTGTATACCCAATCCAATCCATCTCCACTTCCTTCCAGTGCATATTTGTTGAGTGATAGGTTGTTGGCTTATTCGTTGCCGGAGTTCCTTGTTGCTTATTCTTCCCGGCCATCTGAGCTTCAGTGACAAGCCAGCGTAGGCAGTTGTTGATGAATATCTGTAGTTTGTTGGAAATGCCTTTTGTAACTCACTAAGTTTCTGAACCATATAGAAGTACTGACTTGACGTTGGTGTTGAAAATCCGGATATTGATCACGATTTATGCTGAGTGGAGTGCTGTAGGTCTCCACACTGGTTACAGGTTAATGAACGAAGGCCTGTCTTGCTATATTTGCGATCCTGGCTTTGACGTCCTCGTCTGTGCCGCCTTTAGTCTAAATAATGCTGCCTAGATAGGTGAACGAGGCTAATTCCTTTAAGTTCCTCCCTTTGATGGTGACTGGAGCTAAAGAAACTTCAAAGCACAAACAAAGGATTTACTTACATTTAATAATAAGGACAACCGATGAAGTGGTTTGAAAACCTTAAAAAAAGTGGATGAGTAACGTGTAGAAAGCGTCACATATGCTGGTAAACTATATTCCAGTGAATACCTTAGCATAGTTAAACATACACAAGAATTCATAACCCTTGACAATATCAACAAAAATCTAATCCGATGCAATACAACAATACTGATCTAATGACGTAGAACCAAATAACTTAATGTATGGTTGGAAATTGGGTTGAGGGATTTGTTCTAATCTCAAGGTACAAATCATTCTATGACTAAAGTTGCTACACACTAGGCTTTGCCAAATTTTGAACCATCTTCTGGGCTTTTCCTGATTCATCCTCTGGTTATTCTTATAAATAACATAAGAACACAGAGAGCTGTGTCCATTTCCTCTCGTAGAAAGTCAAACTACTTTCAAGCAGCCTAACATTACAATATAGTAATGGTTATTGACAGTTTATTCGAAAAGATCTTTTCAATCGAGTAGAATCATACATGAAATAGTCACCGCACCATAAAACATGTAGTTCTCAATTCTTAGGTACAGACTGGAACACAACAATTAGATTCAAAAACGGCTACATCCGTGTGTTTTGGCATTACATACTTAAAGGCAGTGTGTTCCTAAAGCCATAGACTGTTGCTCATCAAATAGAGTTATCTGGAAAGGAGTATCATTCAGAACATTAGGTTCCTTGGAAAATGTCTGGACTTGCATGACAGAGTTGTGAAGTTAAAAACTTTATAACTAAATTATTTGTGACTAGACTTCAGTCGACAGCAGATTATTATTGTTATTATTTGTTCTTTGGGTTCCTAGTAGATCATAGGGCTTCAGTAGCACTTCGCCATTTCACTCTGTTCTCTGCAGTCTTTTGAATCTGGCTCCACGACTGCCCACCAGCTTTCATTTCTGCCTCATACCATCTTCTCTATGTCACCCTCGGACAACTAACTCGTCGTCTTTTTCTTTTTAGCTTCCACTCGAAGGCCTGGCCTGGTACGTGATGTCCCCAAACGGTCTTCTCAGTGGATGTTCAATCTATCTCCACTTTATTCTGCATATTTGTTGGGCGATGGGTTCTTGGTTGGTTCGTTGTCAGCCAGAGTTCCTCGTCGCTTATTCTTATTAGTGACATCAAATTCACAATGGAGAAAGAGTCAAACAACCAACTGCCATTCCTGGATGTTTTAGTCAGTAGGACAAATGCCGGAAAGCTGGAAACCCAAGTGTACAAGAACCCAACACACACTGACCAAATCCGCAACTACAATAGCAACAACGCAACAACACACAAAATCAGTTGCATGCACAGCGAGAACACACTGGAGCACAACAACTTCATGGAGAAACGAAGAAAATTACTTGATGTCCACCCTAAAAAAGAACGGCTACCCGCGAAACTTTATCAGAAGATGCCTATCCCGTGCATCATCAACTACAAAGTCATCGACAGAAATCAACAAACGCATCGTCCTACCATACATAAAGAATATATCAGAAATCATGACAAGATTGCTGAGACCACTTGGAATTGGTGTGGCTCATAAACCAACAAATTCCCTCCAAACACTATTATGCAGACCAAAGGATGCAACAACAATCAGAGAATACGAACCGAATATCATTTACAAAATCAACTGTAATAACTGTAGTCAATACTACATTGGACAGAGTGGCCGGCCTCTTCGCCTTCGTCTACATAAGCACCTATTGGCTATTAAGGGCAACGACATTTCGTCACTCATTTGAATGCACGTGAATAACAATTATCGACATGAATTCAATTTCGACAATGTAGAAATTTTGGACAGAGGAAACTCAAAGAATGTCAGAGAATTCCTAGAAGCTTGTCATTCAGGTCAGTCAGCAATCAGCAGATGTATAGACATAGACCCGATCTATCAGCCAATAAGAAAAATGATAAACACAGAAAGGTCAGACGTGAAGCAGAGGAACAGCCAACAGTCCGACGATGACACAACAATCGAAGGAAACAGCCAATCACAGACCACATCGTCAGAGCAAGCTACTAAATCACTCATGGAGAGATAGTGACAGCTCACTTCATACTAAAGTTAGTGCTGATGAAGTCGTCTAGCAAAACGATGAAAGCTTCATGATTAAACAACCCAGCCAGCCCAGAGAACACAATACAACGAAGACCATCCACAAATATTCTCCATTATTTTAAAGTAGGCTTAGTTAAATGCCTAAGGGATACGGCGAAAAAGCTAACCACTAAACCGGAAAATCTACAGCAAGAAATTAGACACATCAAGAATACCCTGCGTCTCAATAATTACCCACCAAAATTTATAAATAAATTCATAAGAAATGGAAAGAAAAGTATGAGCAGTGGTAGTAGTAATATAGGTGTTATTAATAATAATTTTACTATAAGTGGTAATAATGGTGGAAGAGTTGAGAGACGATTCAAAGCCTCTGCTGTGTTACATACATAAAAGGAAGGCACCTCCGAAGCATTACGAAGAATCCTCAATGACACTGATTGAGTTAAAAGATCTTATTGATGCAATCAAGCAAAATAATCTGGTTTACCAAATCCTTTGCAATGATTGTGAGGTCAAATACATAGGTCAAAGTATAGTCAACCAGGGTCGATTAGAATAACAGAGCACAAAAACTCAGGTAAATCAAGATTAGTCGATCCGAATAAGATAAAAAATTGAGAAAAATGGTCACCTATAAAGCTCTGTACGCAATTAAACACAATCACACAGTAAGGTGAGATAAAGCGACAGCGTTAAAAACTAACTTAGTTGGGTGGAGTGAGGGAGAGATTGACAACCGAAATTTTCTTCATTGAATCAACACGAAATACATGCAGTAATAGAAATGGTTCTGCACTTGTCTCAGATATACGCGAAATTCTACTACCCTTGTCATCAGAGAGAAGGAGAGAGAGATTTAAGGGCATATAAAGTCTGTCTGAAAGTGGTGGAGTTACCTGATACAAGTGTGGACAATAAATTGTGTCCGAAACATTGTTATCAAGTAAATGATACTGTTCCTTCACTGTGTGACATTTTTAATAAACCGACTAAAATGAAATTACAATCTACTACGCTGTTTAAGTTTCAGTTCTATACCATAGAAAGTATACTTGTAAATTAGTGAATATTAAAACCATCTTACACGTGTGTTTTTAATGAAAATCTAACAGCAAACTGCACAACAACATATTCAAATGCATTTTATCCACCTCTTCAGCTTTATCACTCTCAATATTCTCAAACATACTATGTACGAATATATTTGGAATAATCACTTAGCGCCTGGGATCTCTAAAAGCTTGAAGTACGTTTTGAAGGGCGTTCGTTAACCAACTAATTAAAGTCATAATAATAATGATAATGATAATAATAATAATAATAATAAAATCTACCATTTCTAACATATACAAGGATTGAAAACACTTCGCTTCACAATAGGTTTCAACTACAATGGAAAACTGATATGAATTGGATGTCTATGAGCTTTCAATCCAACCGAAGCATCGCAATATAACTATCCCCCTCAGCAGCCTATTCTTCACTGAGTCACACAAGTATCAAAAGAAAAAAGGTTGACCTATGACTGCAAGGACGATAACGTTACTTCATAAACTGTAGCACATTTATACAATTCCCGCGCACATAAAAATGTTCTAGGCCAAAGATAGAATAACACAATCTTATTGGTTATAACACATACGGAGTCATCCAATAAGGTTATTCCATTCATTCACAGACAGAAATAAAACAAAACACTTCTACCCCAATGGCTGATGAACTTGAACCTTGATTACTATATTTCGCCACTTCCTATAGAGTAGATAAGCTGGGCATTGGACAACACCAATGTATATCAATATGCTTACTCCTGTGGGGCTATATACATCGGCCGTATCATGTGTCATCTTGTAAAACGTACTCGCGAATCCTACCAAACCTGGCTGACAGGAAAATGG